CTGTCTCCTACAAACCAACAGGTTGGACGTGTAAAATAATTCATTTCCAGTATTGTTTAGCATTGGCTCTCAGCACTGGTTCTCAGTCTGGCACTGACTACCAGCCCAGCTCCTAAAAACAAGCGAGCAAGCGTTTGAAGAGGCATAGACACAAGTCTGCTAAGATGTTTGACCTAACAGGATCCATCAGATATCACAGTTAAAAGACAACATAAATAGTATCAAAAACAAGACAGGTAATAGTCAATTGAAGACATCCAGGTGAGTGTCTTACTTGCTTCCTGTGACTCTCTGGGGAGCCCGTCTCTTCCTCCTCTCATTAAACCAGCACTACAGAGCAACTTATTGAATCTGCAACAAAGGAGCTTGGGAACAGCCACAATGATGGACACTGCCTGAGCATCCAGGTAGGCCTCAGACAGAAAGAGAACGAGTGAAAGGAGGAAATAAAGGAGAGGATGATGGAGATCCCAGGAGATGTTTTTCAATCCAGAAAAATAAAATAAAACAATGGCTGAACCATCTCCAGGAGTTATCAGACACAAACGGATGCAGAGCAATGAAAGGTTTCATCTGCATGGAACCTGTTTTTCTCAACACAATGGTGATTTTGTTATACACACATCATTCAATTTCATACGCTCATTCATACTGTAAGCATCCAACAGTAACAACAATCACCTCCACTGTAAGACTCCATTGTGGAGTGCCAGTAACCTACACACACAACCACACACACGATAACCCAGTCTTCTGGGACCAACAGCCATTTGACATACAGTATTTAGTCAGCCACCAATTGTGCAAGTTCTCCCACTTAAAAAGATGAGCGAGGCCTGTAATTTTCATCATAGGTACACGTCAACTATGACAGACAAAATGAGAAAAGAAAATCCAGAAAATCACATTGTAGGATTTTTTATGAATTTATTTGCAAATTATGGTGGAAAATAAGTATTTGGTCAATAACAAAAGTTTCTCAATACTTTGTTATATACCCTTTGTTGGCAATGACACTGGTCAAATGTTTTCTGTAAGTCTTCACAAGGTTTTCACACACTGTTGCTGGTATTTTGGCCCATTCCTCCATGCAGATCTCCTGTAGAGCAGTGATGTTTTGGGGCTGTCGCTGGGCAACACAGACTTTCAACTCCCTCCAAAGATTTTCTATGGGGTTGAGATCTGGAGACTGGCTAGGCCACTCCAGGACCTTGAAATGCTTCTTACGAAGACACTCCTTTGTTGCCCGGGCGGTGTGTTTGGGATCATTGTCATGCTGAAAGACCCAGCCACGTTTCATCTTCAATGCCCTTGCTGATGGAAGGAGGTTTTCACTCAAAATCTCACGATACATGGCCCCATTCATTCTTTCCTTTACACGGATCAGTCGTCCTGGTCCCTTTGCAGAAAAACAGCCCCAAAGCATAATGTTTCCACCCCCATGCTTCACAGTAGGTATGGTGTTCTTTGGATGCAACTCAGCATTCTTTGTCCTCCAAACACGACGAGTTGAGTTTTTACCAAAAAGTTATATTTTGGTTTCATCTGACCATATGACATTCTCCCAATCCTCTTCTGGATCATCCAAATGCACTCTAGCAAACTTCAGACGGGCCTGGACATGTACTGGCTTAAGCAGGGGGACACGTCTGGCACTGCAGGATTTGAGTCCCTGGCGGCGTAGTGTGTTACTGATGGTAGGCTTTGTTACTTTGGTCCCAGCTCTCTGCAGGTCATTCACTAGGTCCCCCCCGTGTTCTGGGATTTTTGCTCACCGTTCTTGTGATCATTTTGACCCCACGGGGTGAGATCTTGCGTGGAGCCCCAGATCGAGGGAGATTATCAGTGGTCATGTATGTCTTCCATTTCCTAATAATTGCTCCCACAGTTGATTTCTTCAAACCAAGCTGCTTACCTATTTCAGATTCAGTCTTCCCAGCCTGGTGCAGGTCTACAATTTTGTTTCTGGTGTCCTTTGACAGCTCTTTGGTCTTGGCCATAGTGGAGTTTGGAGTGTGACTGTTTGAGGTTGTGGACAGGTGTCTTTTATACTGATAACAAGTTCAAACAGGTGCCATTAATACAGGTAACGAGTGGAGGACAGAGGAGCCTCTTAAAGAAGAAGTTACAGGTCTGTGAGAGCCAGAAATCTTGCTTGTTTGTAGGTGATCAAATACTTATTTTCCACCATACTTTGCAAATAAAATCATTAAAAATCCTACAATGTGATTTTCTGAAATTTTTTTTCTCAATTTGTCTGTCATCTTTTTAAGTGGGAGAACTTGCACAATTGGTGGCTGACTAAATACTTTTTTCCCCCACTGTAGTTTCTGTGATTTCATCTAGTCCAACATTAGCATCCCTGGTGGTCCAGAAGGACTGCTCTGTTAGTACTAGGTAGTCTCAGAAGAAACGCAGAACTGTTTTACCTTTGACCGAGGCATTATCCTTTGTTGATTGTTTCTGTGCTAGAAATTGTTCTGCTGTTTACGCATTTCCACTCAGTTATAGAGATGGGAGGGAGGAGAGATAAAGAGAGAGAGAGAGAGAGAGAGAGAGAGAGAGAGAGAGAGAGAGAGAGAGAGAGAGAGAGAGAGAGTGTAAGGCAGAGATCGATAAACAGACTGATGGTAGAGGGTGAGAGGTTCAAAGGTCAAGGCTTATGAACCTTATGTTCTTGTTGGACCTCTCTATGATGAATGAGTTGGTGAGGTGAGGTGGGCTATCTGTAACTCTCTGCCTTGTCTCTCTATCTGGGGTGGGATGGTGTGTAGACTGGATCGATAGATTCATCAGGCTTCTTCAATTAGGGCTCTGTAGCAGAACCAGCCAGTCAGTCAGTCTGGTTATATGATAACAGCAGACCATTAACGCTACACTTCATTAAATGATAAGGATAAATTAAACTACAGGTCAACAGAAAATACTGGGGTTCTTGGTTAACAAGCAAATTGTAATAGTGTGTAGGGGTTGTGTGTGTGTGTGTGTGTCAACTATCATCACATTCACTCTCATATTTACTTATAAGATGCTTCCTGCAAGAAAGTGATAGCCAAAGCTAATTGAAGTGCATGAAATGGTGTGACTAAAATCACATAATAACTAACTAAATGCATTGCTTAGATTTTGCCATTCCAAGTGTCGCAAAAAAAAATGTTTTGCCTACAATGCATGAATCATATGATATAAGCAACAGCGTAATATTTTATTTCTTTTCATTTATACACTATTTAGAAAATAAAACACATTGAATGAATAAATACAAATTTAAAAAGCAAATTGTTTCGGCAAACTGATCACCTTTGTTCCCACAACTAGAGACACATCATGTTATTTTTTTACATTGCTCTCTCTGAACATAGGGGTTCTCGCATAGGGTTGCAAAATTGGGTAACTTCCCCAAACTTTCCAGGCTTTCCTGAAATCCCAGTTGTAAGATTCCCAGTTACAGGTTTCCCAGCTAGAGGATTCACTCTTTGTTTTTCGGTTCCTGATTCAGGGAATACACCAACTGGGATTTCAGGAAAACCTGGGAATTTTGGGAAAGCTATGGGAATTTTGCAACCCCAGTCTCTGGTAGCAGTGGGGACGGTCCCCCTGAAGCAGACTGGGTCACAAACTGCAATGGAAACACTAACGGCTGACTGGCATGCAGGTGCTCAAGTGTCCCTATTTATAGCAGACATAACTCATTACAAATATAAAGCAATATGTCACCAGAAATTACATATAAGTAATATGTCAAATTGGGTGACATACAGTACTGTATAACTCCAATGTCATTTATAGACATATCTCATTACAAATATGGAGTAATATATCACCAGAAGTGACATAAAAGTAATATGTCACCAGACGTGACATAAAAGTAATATGTCAAACTGGGTGGCATATAACTACAATGGTTAAACGTCACTATTTTGACATATTCTAATTAGACCATGTTGTTCATAAACACAAAGATAATGGATTGGCACAGAGTTAATACGACAAACATCGAGAAACATCTGGAAAACATTTCTATTTACACAAACAATAAATAATAAACAAGATAGGTCCTTTCTCTACAGTATGACCATAGGATCGATGCACCCAACAGAACTTCAGTGCCATTCTCTTTGTAAACGTATTCTCTGCCGATGGAAAAATAGCCATTCCAGCCTTACCAGAGAAAACACCATTGTACAGTAACAACATCGGATGTTCACCAACAGTAGATCATTGCATAATTGACAAGATCATTGCACGTATTACAAAACAAACACACAAGATCACCCAATAGTTTACATTTTATCTGCTGCAGTTATGTGATGTCATTGTCTTGTTGTTAAACTTCAGCTTCTACTTTGTATTTTTTGTTGTTGTCATTGACATAGTAAAATAAGGCAGGAAGTTGCAGAGACCTTTGAGTATACCACCAGTGGTCAGGTGACCAGAAAAACGTCCAATGAGAAGAGGATGATCATTCCCATTTCCTTGTCCTCTTCCTTGGGTTTGGCAGATATTATGTTGCACAGAACAAAGAGTAACTTACAGAGGGATACGAATGCAGGGGAAAGGACAATAGTACAGTATATAACAGGTAGAAGGTAGGAGCATGTCCCATCATCTCTCTCCGTGTCCCTCTCTTTCGCTCTCATTGTTTTCTTTTGTCCAGGTCCGTTATGGCAGCAAATACACTGAATCCCCAGACCTGGGGGAAGAGAAGAGAGTGAAGCGGAGCAGAGCAGGAACCAAGCTAGACCCAGGCTGTAGACCCAAGGGGAGACCCAAGACAGAGTGGTGTGGACCAGGCCGGAACCAGGGTTGAGCAGGTCTGAAAATACAGTGCTAGATGTAGAAGTGTAGAGAGAGAAGCAGAGCAGTGTGGACCCAGACTCAGGCTCAGGCTGTAAACTCAGGCTAGGACCAGGCTGGGAGGCCCAGGTGATGTGGACCCAGTCTGAGATCCACTCCATCTCCCCTGGGCCTGAGCTGATCTGGGATCAGCGTTATCTCACTTCTATCTCACTCAGGCAGTCCAAGGCGTCCAGGTACTCCAAGGCCAGGTCATAGCAGAACCGGTACTGCTCCTGAAATCAAACACAACACAGGTGTGAACATTTCTCTACATGGACACTTTGCTATAGATCAAAGCTTGAATTCAATCAATCAGCGATCTGTATTTGAGCATGTAAATACTGTAAACCACTGCAAGTTTGACTTTGAGCCTTAAGACATGCATTCTCCTGTGCACCGTATTAGGTCTCCCGACCAAAAGAGGTTCTAAAAAGGGTATTTCCTGGTTAAATCAAGGTTATTACTTACCATGGTCTCCACCATGTTGGGTTTGGAGTTGCGTAGCGTCTTGGCAGCGTAGAAGACATCCACCACGCTGTGATGACGGATCATCTCTAGCAGCATGGTACAAGCGCAGAACGTACCGCTCCTACCACCACCGTTACTGTTACACACACAGGGAGAAACACAAGACACGTGGGTCAGTGCTTATGAGTCATTATGTATACACTTTGTGACCACTGAGAGAGGAGCCTGTGTTGCGAAATGTGCCCGAATAATTCAGATTGCGAAACCTGGGTATATGGCGCAAAAACCAGCACAGACAGACACACAGACACATGCCCATAGAGAGATAGAGAAACAAACACAGACATTGACACAAACAGAGAGACAGTCAGACACAGACATCAATGTGAGTCACGTCTCTAGGATGCAGGGCAGAGACGGAGGCTGGAGCCATAAAGTGAAATGTCACAGCTCAGTCTGAGACTCAGATCAAGGAGGCTGTCAGAAAAACAGCAACGGGGAGAACTTTGAAGACTAGCATCGGAGGAATGTTTCTCATTAAATCCAGAAACGAGGAAGGAAATCTAATACAGGGGTGCGTCTCAAATGGCACCCTATTCCCTATGGTAGTGCACTACTTTTAACCAGGGCCCATATGGCTCTGGACAAAAATAGTGCACTATATAGGGCATAGGGTGCCATTTGGGACGCAGATTTAGCATGTCGACCCCAGAGACCAATCCAGGCTGGATAGAGATATGTAGCGTAGCTGAAGTGTAGGAGAGGCTGGGGAACTACAGCCTAGAGCGGATCCCTTTTATAGTAATTATGAAAACTGAGGAGTGTAGTAGTGAACACTTGGGGGTTTACGTTTTATCCTGCCACATTTAACACTACACACAGGCAGGCTCAGTGCTTTAAAGAGTAAAAAGTAATGGTTCAAAAACATGTGATTTTGATGGTTGTTAAACTACCAAGTGGGACCGGAACCAACACAATAACACAATCTACTGAAGCAAGGTGTGACCTCAGATTACAGTTTTTCTCAATCGCGCACAAGCAATTTTTGGACCTGTGTTGAAATGTATCTATACTGTAGCAGAACAGCAATGATCAAATATACACTGCTCAAAAAAATAAAGGGAACACTAAAATAACACATCCTAGATCTGAATGAATGAAATAATCTTATTAAATACTTTTTTCTTTACATAGTTGAATGTGCTGACAACAAAATCACACAAAAATTATCAACGGAAATCAAATGTATCAACCCATGGAGGTCTGGATTTGGATTCACCCTCAAAATTAAAGTGGAAAACCACAGTAGTACAGGCTGATCCAACTTTGATGTAATGTCCTTAAAACAAGTCAAAAGTAGTGTGTGTGGCCTCCACATGCCTGTATGACCTCCCTACAATACCTGGGCATGCTCCTGATGAGGTGGCGGATGGTCTCCTGAGGGATCTCCTCCCAGACCTGGACTAAAGCATCCGCCAACTCCTGGACAGTCTGTGGTGCAATGTGGCGTTGGTGGATGGAGCGAGACATGATGTCCCAGATGTGCTCAATTGGATTCAGGTCTGGGGAACGGGCGGGCCAGTCCATAGCATCAATGACTTCCTCTTGCAGGAACTGCTGACACACTCCAGCCACATGAGGTCTAGCAATGTCTTGCATTAGGAGGAACCCAGGGCCAACCGCACCAGCGTATGGTCTCACAAGGGGTCTGAGGATCTCATCTCGGTACCTAATGGCAATCAGGCTACCTCTGGCGAGCACATGGAGGGCTGTGCGGCCCCCCAAAGAAATGCCACCCCACACCATGACTGACCCACCGCCAAACCGGTCATGCTGGAGGATGAAATAGGGGGATTCTACCGAGGATAAGGGCATCATTTCCTCGAATACATACCGAGCTACAAGCTTGTTCAGCTCTCCCTGGTCCTCCTGAACGATTCAAATCAAGCCTTGATTGTTTGAATGAGGTAGGCCTACAGTCATCTTCAGCAGCCGTGGTCAGGTCTCGGGGGTCTTTCGCTAAAAGTTTTGTGTTGGCGTGTTGCCTTTGCAGGTGCTTCAAGAGATTGGAAGTCATGTTTCTAGCAGTGGAGAGGTGTTTCTCGCCTGGGCATAGTTCACATTTTACAGTTATATTCGTACAATTTTCTCCTACTTTTTTATATTGCGCCAACAGAGGGAATAATGATCACAAATAAAAGTAACAATTTATTTATTTGATCAGTAATTGTAATAGTATTATGCAAATTGGAACAGTAACTCTGTTATATTACTCGTTACCGCAAAAAGTAATATTATTACTGTAACACGTTACTTTGTAATGCCTTACCTCCAACACTGCTCCTTAGTCATCATCTTCGACATTGTGACCTTCCATTATAAAGCTTTGCTCTGCTGTGGATTGAGGCCTATACAGTACATTCATATCAGCTGCGTTCCTCCATTGTATTCACCTTTCCTTATTTCTATTGTGGATAGTGTTTCTGTGCACCAATGGAAAGTCTACAAAACAATGTTCAAACCAGCCTTAGTATTCAATACATGGAATTGGATTGTGATGATACCGATGAATGGATCGTGCACACAATGTGCTTATTTTAATTAAATGTTTTATCAGGAATAATATTGGATTTGATATGTATGAAATTGTTTGGTGAAATATGCATAAAAGTAGAGTAATTGGCCATAATTCTGCACCTTTGGATAGTTGTACTTCTAATTTTGAGTTTTCAGTTTTGTCTGCTTGGACTCTTTTGGTATGGTTGCATTAATCTTTTTGCAGGGAGTCATGTTCTTTTGATGAATCTATTTGCAAGGTCACAGAGTTCTGTGTCTTGTGAACTCTGTTTTGACAATCGATGGCTGCCACCTGCTTTCTGTACAGTATGTTCACAACAGGAGTCAACAAGAGCCAATGACACCTTTAGTGTGATTTTCTTTTTTTGTATAGTGTCAGTATGGCCCGAGAATTATTCAGACTAGCGCACAGCAGTAAACTTCTTAAACCAATTTCCTCAACGTTTTTGTAGATCACGCTCGCTGATAACAATTGCAGTGCACAGGTTGTTTGAATCGTTTCTGTGTATCCTATCTGCAAACCAAACTTCCCTTGGGAATGATAAAGATTTTATGAGTGAAATGGTGGACAGTGGTAAACTCACAGACAGTGGACGATGGTACGTCCCTCTCCACACTCTCTCTGCCAGTTGTGGACCTGGGCCAGGAGGCTGAGGAAAGCCTTCTTAGAGTCTGGGACGTCACGGTATGGAGACCAGCGCAGGAACTGGAAATGACGAACCACCAGCTGACCTTCCTGGAGCTGGGGGGGGGGGAGCAAGGACAGAAAGAGAGGACAACGATAATATTGTGTTAGATCCCAAATAACAGACTTGTCAAGCACTCGATGGGAACACACACAACACATCACAGCACACGATCCACACCTTTCAGACATGTATGGCATCCTAGAGTGGACAACTCTAACCCAGAAGGACACTGGTAGAAATGGCAAAGACCTGCCACCATCTCTCTTGGCTCCTATCACTCCAGTCTCTGGTATAGTAGTGTAGTGGTCTAGTGCTTATAATAATAATAATAATAATAATAATAATAATTTGGTGGGTGCTTATATTTGTCCCAGGGGAGAACGACTGCCCCCTCTCATTGAAGCCACGTTATTTCAAGGCAGACCGTGGTACTCCCATTATTGTGAATGGAAAAATGGCAATCTTCGTGGTCAAGCTTTGTGTAAATAAAAACATGTTTTAAATACAATCACTGTACCAATAATTACTTCTAATACACCTGATGTATTTCCTTGAACTGATTATTTTAAAATCGCACACAGAAGAAGGTATAAGGATAGTTGAGTTGCTAATGGCAGCCTTCAGTACCCCGGTTGGCTTTCAAACTTGAGTTACTCAATGACAGGGGGCAGCACTGAGCTAGCCTGCAACGTCACTTCCTAGAGTAGCTCAAACTGCGCATGTTATGTCTCCATGGGACGCCATCTTAACTGACTTAATTTGACTTCAATGCACTATTGAGTATTCACATAGGAATACATGGTGTCACGTGATCGATGGCTTTCTCCATTCTTATATAAAGTACCGTATTTTCCGCACTATAAGGCGCACCGGAGTATAAGCCGCAGCAGCTAAATTGAATGATATTGAATGATGTGTACATATATAAGCCGCACTGGACTATAAGCCGCAGGTGTTTTAATGTTTAATTACCATATGTAAGGGTTCGTGCACAGAGGGGATTGTCGGGAAAGAGACAAACTGTCTCGCTCTCGTAATGTCTGTCTGTCTTGCTCTCGTTCTGTCTCTCGTTCTGTCTCTCGTACCACTCTCGGTTCCACTTTTACTTTTGCGCGCTACCTGTCTCACTCTTTTCAGGCTTCCAGCTTTTCCTGCTGGAGCCCACCGCTTAAAGGTGGGGGGCGCGGACCGGTCATAGAGCCCATAGAGTTAAAGTTGGTGGACTGTAACCTGTAAAATCCATAGATTTAGGAGGTCTTCTAGTGGCCGTTAGCTGTAAAAATCCATAGATTAGCCGCACCGTTATATAAGCCGCAGGGTCGAAAAATGGGAAAAAAGGCGCGGCTTATAGTCCGAAAATTACGGTAATTGACTTGTCCTAAATTAATACGCATTTCTGAATTGGAAATATGTTTTTTTGCATATCCCAACTCCCTCTGAGAACCCTTCGGAGAGTGGGGTCACGGCCAGGGTCAGTCACTATCAACAGCAACCCTGGAGCAATTCGGGTTAAGTGCACGTCACCTGGTCTGCTCGGGAATTCGAACTAGCAACCTTTCGGTTACTGGTCCAATGCCCTAACCGCTAGGCTACCTGCCGCCCTTTATACCATGATATAGAATACCTTGCTGGGAAATTGTGCATCATCCTCCCTCCCTGTTCCTGTTGCTGGACAGCTCTGATTGGTAGGATCAGTGGGATCCTGTGAAAAGGCAGTGGGGATCGTTTGACAGCTGCCTCCCCCTCCTGGGGGGTGACAGGGCCTCCCCCTCCTGGGGGGACAGGGCGGGACAGGGCTCTGACGGAGGTGACAGCGGGATGACATGAGGGTGAGGCAGGGGGAGGAGGGGATGCTCTAAGTGTAGGCAAGGAGAGGGATTAGGGACACTATACCTGACAGGGGGTGAGAAGGGGGAGGTAGGGAGACAGAGCAGGGAGGCTAGGTGACAGGGGGTGAGGAGGGAGAGGTAGGGAAACAGAGGCAGGGAGGCTAGGTGACAGGGGGTGAGGAGGGAGAGGTAGGGAAACAGAGGCAGGGAGGCTAGGTGACAGGAGGGGTTGTTTTGCTAGGGGTGTTGGGAAGTGCCTGTCTGATCAACGCTGGGAGACTAAGCTAGTTACAATCACGAAGACAACACGCAGTCAACGGCTAGGAGAGAGGCACACAGCTATGGTAATACAGCACACACAGACATAGACACACACACGCATACACACTTACACACGCACGCAAACACACACACTCCAAAAGAAAAGACCACAACGCACCTACAATGATTTCACAGGCATTGAAAAGGCTGATAATTTGATAATTTCATCGTTACACTGTCAAAAATACATTTTAGGTAATTGACAATCATTCTAAATCTATGGAGTGACTAATGCATGCCTCATCTCCCATGTTCAGTAGACAGACTACGAAAAGATAAAAGGGGCCATTAGGCTCTCTACTAAATACGCATGAAGAGACAACGGATAAATATGTTTTAAAGAACATCACCAAATTAAAGAGATACGACTAAACTGTCAGACTGGCTGTGTCAGCCGGTTAATTTTCAACTGTAGTCCCTTAACTTATAAGAGCAAAAAAAGGGACTTTGACAGCCGGTCTGTCATTGACCACGACCTACCCGCATGATGTTCTGAACCCGGAACAGACGAATTATGACGTCATCATCAGCCATTATGGACAGGAGCTCCACTGTCATTGGTCCAAACTGCTGCAGCCCAGGCTCTGGCCAGTACTGTAGACACGGCTGAGTGAGTGAGAGAGCGAGAGAGAGCGAGAGCGAGAGCGAGAGCGAGAGCGAGAGAGAGAGAGAGAGAGAGAGAGAGAGAGAGAGAGAGAAAAAAAATAGGAAGAGAAAGAAGGAAGATAACCGGTGATTAGCGGACTATGGAGGCGGAGGAGTGAAATCAAATCATTATGTCACAGAGCAGGATGGCAGAAGTCAATAACAAGACACCTGAGGATCGACAGGACAGACATTTAGGCAGATCCACAATTATCCAACCAATAGCAGCAATGTTAATTGCATGAGCAGAAAACACCGTCATCACTGAGTACAATCAATCCCATAACACCGCACGCACGCACGCACACACACACACAGTTTTATAGCATTTCACATCTTTTGAATAATTAATCACTCTAAATCATTACCATTAGCCCATTATAAATTAATGCAGTGTGGTCAGGGGGGAAAACCTCAGCAGCAACTGGGAGAGATACACATGGAGTCAATCAGGGATTGGTGCACAGAGCACACAGACCGGGCCAAAGTATTTAGTCAATACAGGTCGCAGCTGCTTCAAAGACTCTCGACAACCGAAGGGAGGAACGGAGGGATGGAGACACTGGGGAGTGTAGTGTTGAATTGCTGACAGTGTTAGCTGTGACAGCGTGGGGGACGGAGAGGGGAGCAGAAAGGGAGGGAGGGAGGGAGGGATAGAGGGAGGGAGCAGGAGGCCCAGGGGAGGAACAAGGTAGCGATAATGTCCTGTCACATTGACAGAGAGGTATTAACGAGGTGACGGGGGCAAAGGGAGAGATAAATATTTATACACAGAGACAGGTAGCACAGACGACTGGGGTACACTGTTAATCTACAGGTAGAGAGAGAAAGGGAAGGAGGGAGAGGGGGATGGGAAAGAAAGAAAGAAAGAAGAGAGAGAGAGGAGAGATGAGGGAAAGGAGGAGAGAGAGCGAGAGAGAGAGAGGGGAAAAAGAGAGCAATTAAGACATGGCAGAGAAGGATAGCAGGACAGAGACGATACATGGAGGATGAACAAGAGAAGAGATGGAGAGAAAAGTAAGGAGAAAGAAAGAGAGTGAGTGGAGAGAAAGGGTCGAGGAAGGAGAGAGAGTTGAGGAGAAAGAGCGAGAGTAGACGAGAGAGACAGCCAGTTCTAAATGAGAGCAATGGAGTAAACGTTAGCCAACCCAGCACCATGACACAGTGACAGGTGAAAGATAAGAAGGCCACAGACAAACCCACACATGAGCAAGCACACGGGTGACGTGCTAGATGAGGGAGAGACGGGGTGAAAACAGAATGATAAGGATGTGGTAATGCCCTGACAAGCAGGCAAAAAATGTATCATCTTATTAATTAATCTACACAAAGGCTATAAATCAGCTTGCTATTTACATTTTTGTCATTTAGCGGACGTTCCCATCAAGAGCAACTTACAGTTAGTGCATTCAGCTTAAGATAGCTATGACATGGGATTGGTCAGAGTACAGCTTTGACCAATCGCGTATGAGGATGAGAGATTTGACCGGTACCTAATAGCCACAGGGCTTCCTCAGTCAGTAAGTCAGTCAGTCAGTTCATCAATTCACTCCCCACTTCCTTCCTCAATGCTCTGCCCCTCACCTCCCCTCTTCTCACCCAGGCAGAGTTGGACTGGTTGATCTGGTTGAGCATCACCACTGAGGTACATCCATAGTCATAGACCAGCCTCCAGAAGTCTGCCGTGGTTCCCGGTAACGGGTGTGGCGTGACCACGAAGGCGGCGGGCCGGTGGAAGCTGTCGGTGAGAGCGGCGTTGATGTAGTTGTTCCCCTCGGCAATGCCCTCAGTGGTAACCAGGAAGGCCAGGGCACGGTCGGGAGGCAGGACGTCCATGCTACGGTTCTTCTCGCGGTTCCTAGGCAACAGGGACACACTGCACTCCTCTACGTCCAGGTGAGGGGTCACAGAGTTCAACGTCTGGAGAGAGGGAGGAAGGGATGGAGAGAGATAAAGAAGGAGAGAGAGGGTGAGATGAAGGGGCACAGACAAGGTAGAAGAGGATGATGGAGAAGAGGAGATGTGGGAATGTGAGAGACATTTGGGAGAGATGGAAGAGACAAATTGAGAGGAGTGCAGTGAGACAGAGAGAGACAGAGAGACAGACGGAGCGAGAGAGAGGCAGAGAGAGAGAGAGAGAGAGACAGACAACTGTCTAATCATCATCTGGCTGAAACTTTAAAATGCATTTAGCATCAGTCAAAAAACTATGAAGGGGCTTAAAGGATAAAAACATTTAATCACAAACCACATGCATTATAAATAAGCACATTATGAGGCTTTGGGAATTGAAATTGGAGGGGAAATTAAAATGATTATTTAACTTGCTGTGTATTGTGTTGAATAATAACTCCCTATTAAGTTTGACAGTATGAATGGTGCATTATAATTATTACTAATTTACATTGCATCAGGATTACATCTTGGAGATACAGTATGTGTTGAAATGATAAATCGGTAATCAAATGGCACCCTATTCCCTATTTAATGTACTACTTTTGACCAGGGACCATAGGACTGGTCAAACATAGTGCATTGTACAGGGAATAGGGTGCCATTTGGGATGCATCCTAAATATCTGATTTCAGTGAGGGTATTTCATTGAACTATAATAACTGTCATGAATGTATTTATTAGCCTGGTCTGAAAAAGATAAGTAGCTGTAATTATGCATGGTAAAGGTCACTAATGATTTGTGTCAATAAAATGGAAGAGGAGGAAGATCCATCTAGCCAGATTAACTAAGATCATCTCATAGAGAAATAGGAATTACTGTAATATACAGTAAAATGCAATTTACGACCTCAGACTGCTGCAATAGACCATGAATACAGCTAAGGGCATGGTACTGTACTGTGCCATGACTAGTGGTTTGGTGAGAGTTAGTGGATCTAAGTTTGCACCATTAATACTAGTAAGAGAATAACATAATTATTATGTGAAATGAATTCCACTGTTAGAATAAACATAATCTCCAACCATTTTCTTTACAAACCATATCGAGGACATCAAGACGTATTGGGAAAGAAGTCAAATTCAAGTTGTCAGATAGTTTCTGGTTGCTAAAACAATGTTTACAAAACATCCTACTAGTCTTACCTGGAACTCCTCTCGTAGCTGGGAGGTGTTGCTCTGTGAGTCAACCCTCAGCATCTCCTTATAGGTCAGAGCAAACTCAATAACTGGTATAGCTGTCTCTCCACACAGGCAGGCCTCCAGGATGGCATCATGGATGAACACATACTGCTCCTGAGAGAGGGAGGTAGGGGGGAGGGAGGGAGGTGGGGGGGTTGGGGATGGAAGGTAGGAAGGAGGAAGGATGGACGGGAGGGAGGGAGGGAGGGACAAGACAGTGAGATTGAGAAACTAACAAGAAACGCCTATTATCTGGTTTTGATTATAGAACCATAATTGCTAGCGGTTTGGGGGGGAGTGTAACATTGGGATCTGATTACTGTTGTTAATGTCGACTAATTGTCAACTTTCTTCACATCACTATGCCCACACACAAATGTTGTTTTGCAAACCTTTAACAGTCTAAAAACTGGGAAAGGAGAGGGTGTTAGAACATACATCAAAAGAGCCACCAAAGAAAAAACAAGTGAGACAATAATACAGATAAAAACAAATAAAAACAAAAAATAACACGGTGTGCAGGTGTGGTTGGAAGCCCAAGGGCTTATATGAAAACCATAACACAAAAAAACAATATACAATAAATAAGTAAAAATAAAAAGGTTTGTTAAAACAGATAACAAAACCTCCTAATTATAAATGTATAAATGAATTAATATACAGTACCAGTCAAAAGTTTGGACACACCTACTCATTCCAGGGTTTTTCTTTATTTTGTACTATTTTCTACATTGTATAATAATAGTGAAGACATCAAAACTATGAAATAACACATATGGAATCATGTAGTAACCAAAAAAGTGTTAAACAAATCAAAATATATTTTATATTTGAGATTCTTCAAATAGCCACCCTTTGCCTTGACAGCTTTGACAGCTTTGCACACTCTTGGCATTCTCTCAACCAGCTTCATGAGGTAGTCACCTGGAATCAATTTCTATTAACAGGTGTGCCTTCTTAAAAGTTAATTTGTGGAATTTATTTCCTTCTTAATGCGTTTGAGCCAATCAGTTGTGTTGTGACAAGGTAGGGTGGTATACAGAAGATAGCCCTATTTGGTAAAAGACCAAGTCCATATTATGGGAAGAACAGCTCAAATAAGCAAAGAGAAACAACAGTCCATCATTACTTTAAGACATGAAGGTCAGTCAATACGGAACATTTCAAGAACTTTGAAAGTTTCTTAAAGTGCAGTCGCAAAAACCATCAAGCACTATGATGAAACTGGCTCTCATGAGGACCGCCACAGGAATGGAAGACCAACAAGTTACCTCTGCTGCAGAGGATAAGTTCATTAGAGTTACCAGCCTCAGAAATTGCAGCCCAAATAAATGCTTCACAGAGTTCAAGTCACAGACACATCTCAACATCAACTATTCAGAGGAGACTGTGTGAATCAGGCCTTCATGGTCGAATTGCTGCAAAGAAACCACTACTAAAGGACACTAATAATAAGAAGAGACTTGCTTGGGCCAAGAAACACGAGCAATGGACATTAGACCGGTGGAAATTTGTCCTTTGGTCTGGAGTCCAAATTGGAGATTTTTGGTTCCAACCGCCGTGTCTTTGTGAGACGTGGGTGAACGGATGATCTCCGCATGTGTATTTCCAACCGTAAAGCATGGAGGAGTTGGTGTTATGGCGTGGGGGTCCTTTGCTGGTGACACTGTCTGTGATTTATTTAGAATTCAAGGCACACTTAACCAGCATGGCTACCACAGCATTCTACAGCGATACGCCATCCCATCTGGTTTGGGCTTAGTGGGTCTATCATTTGTTTTTCAACAGGACAATTACCCAACACACCTCCAGGCTGTGTAAGTGCTATTTTACCAACAAGGAGCGTGATGGAGTGCTGCATCAGATGACCTGGCCTCCACAATCCCCCGACCTCAACCCAATTGAGATGGTTTGGGATGAGTCGGACGGCAGAGTGAAGGAAAAGCAGCCAACAAGTGCTCAGCATATGTAGGAACTCCTTCAAGACTGTTGGAAAAGCATTCCAGGTGAAGCTGGTTGAGAGAATGCCAAGAGTGTGCAAAGCTGTCATCAATGCAAAGGGTGGCTATTTGAAGAATCTCAAATATAAAATATATTTTGATTTGTTTAACACTGTTTTGGTTACTACATGATTCCATATGTGTTATTTCATAGTTTTGATGTCATCACTATTATTCTACAATGTAAGAAAATAGTTAAAATAAAGAAAATCCTTTGAATGAGTAGGTGTTCTAAAACTTTTGACCGGTAGTGTATATATATATATATATATATGTTTTGTTTAAATGTGTGTGTGCATGTGTGCATATGAGTGTGTGAGAATTAGGCTATACGGAGAGGATTACTGAGTAGTTTGGTTCATTAGGCTGACCCACCAGTCTTCGTTTGAAGTTATTGATGAATGATGATGTTTTGGCAAATAAGAATTCCAGAGTATGGTACCTCTATATCTGATACAGAATTGACTATTTGAGGTGCGGCAGTGTGGGTGGTGAAGGATAACGCAGTGTCTTGTGTTATATAGATGGATTTCAGAATTAACCTGGAAGAATCCATTGAAGGGTTTAGGTAAACTGTCTGGGAGGTATGAGTATTTGTAGATACAAGTGCAGAATTGCCATACATTAATGTTGTAAATAGACAAGATATTGAGTTTCTTAAACAAAGGTGCAGATGGAGCCAGGTAAATAGAGGAGGTGGCTAGTCTTGCAAATGTATTTTGTATGATGAGTCATTTGTGTAGATAGGAGGCATATGTACTGGCCCAGACAATTTTACAGTAAATTATATATGGGTAAATTAAGCTATAGTATAGAGTTAGGAAGCAAGCCTGATGAACCAAACAACTAATCTTTCTGATGATACCAACAGATTTCATCACTTTGCTGCAGACAAATTGAATATGATATTTCCAGGATAACTTTTCATCAATTAGAACTCAGAGGAATCTAGTGGATGTGACTTGTTCCATTTAATTCCCACCAATTGAGATTCTGGCTCTTTTTTTACAATATTTCTTATTCTTAATAGTGAATACAATTAAGTTGGATTTAAAGATAATTTGTTTATCTGGAACCATTCAGAAAATGTGGCCATGCCTGAGTTGGCTTCATTAATTAGTGAGTCAAAATTATTGTGTGATAAAATCAAATTGATATCATCAGCAAAGAGAATGGGAAGTACGGTAGAAGACACAGCAGCAAGGTCATTGATATTGATTAGGAATCACAAAGGTCCAATTATCAAACCCTGTGGCATGCCACAGGATATCTTGGCCCTAGTAGATGCACAGCCGTTTGCATAAACAAACTGTTCTCTATCATAAACATAACTACAGTGCCTTGCAAAAGTATTCATCCCCCTTAGAGTTTTTCCTATTTTGTTCCATTACAACCTGTAATTTAAATTGATTTTTATTTGGATTTCATGTAATGGACATACACAAAATAGTCCATATTGGTGAAGTGAAATTCAAAAAATAACTTGTTTAAAAAAACTCTAAAAAATAAATAACGGAAAAGTGGTGCGTGCATATGTATTCACCCCCTTTGCTATGAAGCCCCTAAATAAGATCTGGTACAACCAATTAACTTCAGAAGTCACATAATTAGTTAAATAAAGTCCACCTGTGCAATCTAAGTGTCACATGATCTGTCACATGATTTCAGTATATATACACCTGTTCTGAAAGGCCCCAGAGTCTGCAACACCACTAAGCAAGGGGTACCACCAAGCAAGCGGCACCATGAAGACCAAGGAGCTCTCCAAACAGGTCAGGGACAAAGTTGTGGAGAAGTACAGATCAGGGTTGGGTTATGAAAAAATATCAGAAACTTTGAACATCCCACGGAGCACCATTAAATCCATTATTAAAAAATTGAAAGAATACGGCACCACAACAAACCTGCCAAGAGAGGGCCGCCCACCAAAACTCACGGACCAGACAAGGAGGGCATTAATCAGAGAGGCAACAAAGAGACCAAAGATAACCCTGAAGGAGCTTCAAAGCTTCAAAGCTGTTCGCCAAAAGGCATGTGGGAGACTCCCCAAACATATGGAAGAAGGTACTCTGGTCAGATGAGACTAAAATTTAGGTTTTTGGCCATCAAGGAAAATGCTATGTCTGGACACACCCAACACCTCTCATCACCCCGAGAACACCATCCCCACAGTGAAGCATGGTGGTGGTAGCATCATGCTGTGGGGATGTTTTTCATCGGCAGGGACTGGGAAACTGGTCAGAATTGAAGGAATGATGGATGGCGCTAAATACAGGGAAATTCTTGAGGGATACCTGTTTCAGTCTTCCAGAGATTTGAGACTGGGACGGAGGTTCACCTTCCAGCAGGACAATGACCCTAAGCATACTGCTAAAGCAACACTTGAGTGGTTTAAGGGGAAACATTTAAATGTCTTGGAATGGCCTAGTCAAATCCCAGACGTCAATCCAATTGAGAATCTGTGGTATGACTTAAAGATTGCTGTACACCAGCGGAACCCATCCAACTTGAAGGAGCTGGAGGAGTTTTGCCTTGAAGAATGGGAAAAAATCCCAGTGGCTAGATGTGCCAAGCTTATAGAGACATACCCCAAGAGACTTGCAGCTGTAATTGCTGCAAAAGGTGCCTCTACAAAGTATTGACTTTGGGGGGGGTGAATAGTTATGCACGCTCAAGTTTTCTGTTTTTTTGTCTTATTTCTTGTTTTTTTTCACACACAAAAAAAATTTGCATCTTCAAAGTGGTAGGCATGTTGTGTAAATCAAATGATACAAACCCCCCAAAAAATCAATTTAATTCCAGGTTGTAAGGCAACAAAATAGTTAAAATGCTAAGGGGGTGAATACTTTCGCAAGCCACTGTATTTAGCCAATTATGTATAATCATGAAAAACGTAATAATGTAATTTAGAAAGTAATATTTCATTATCAACCGTGTCAAACGCTTTGGATGAATCTAAAAAGATACAAGAGCGTATTCATTGTTCAGGGCTGTAAAGACTTATTCCACAAGTTGCAAAACAGCCATATCTGTGGAGTTGTTTTTACGAACAACTCATATAGAATACAGTGTTGATTTAAATGTTTCAACATTCTTTTATACACCAATTTTTCTAGGATTTTTGAAAAACATGGTAGTACAGATATTGGGCGATAATTTAGAAAAGATCTGGGATAACTTTGGCAATTTTCAAATCTTTAGGAACAATACCAGTTTGCATTGATTAGAGGCTCAGTAATCGAGGAAGACACTGATTTCAACAGAGGCACCAATCTCATCAAGACCTGCTGCTAATATCTTTAATTTACCAATTACCTCCATCACCTCCATTACATCAGGAGGATCAAACTGAAGCAGAGAAGGGAAATGTCCCTTAATGTAATCCAAGGAATTTCCATCAGTATTCTCATTCACAAAAAAGTTATTAAATTCACATGAAATAACATCAGGATCACTATAGGTCTTATTTCCAAGAATAAATTGAGATGGGATAGTTGCAGATACCTTTTTATTATTCAACAGTTGATTGATGATTTTCAAAGTTGACTTCATATTATTTAAGGATTCTTGGAATATATTAGAAAAATATATATTTTGGGATATCCGAAGAAGGTGAGTAATTTGCAGAATTCAGGGTCGAGAATTTTTTTACACAACTTTATTTTTTTTAACTGATTATTTTGTTTAGACCGGTTGTAAACCAAGGTTTCCAGAACCCTTCCGCTGCTCTCTTACATTATTTTAACTAAGAGAAAGCAGTGGTGAAATACAGAATTGAAAGATGTAAAAATGTCTGATAAGCAGACTCCACATCGGCCTGATTATAAACATTTTCCAATGAAATATCACCAATCAACATCTTAAAGCGCTCACAATTACTTAGTTAAATATTCTACCCTTAATGCTACTAATCATTCCCATCTGTTCATTTCCAGCTCCCAAAGACAAGTGGAAAATTGAAAAATGGTCAGAAATGTCAGTATAAAGTATACCTACATGTATTAGCCACATTATTCAAAGAATTTGTAAAAATATTATCAATAAGGGTGGCAGATGAACTGGTCACTCTTGTGGGCTTATAGATGAAGGGATACAGATAGCTGGAGTATAAATTATTCAAAAAGTCATATCAGTGAGTGGTTCTCACTTTTAAATACGTTTATGTTGTAATCACCCAATAGAAAACACATTTTATCTTCATTATTAATCAAGTCCAAGGTTGATGCAAGGATATCAATAAAATTACCAACGTCAGAATCGGGTGGCCGATGGATGCATCCAATTACCACTTTTTTACCACCAAAAAATGAACAGGAGGACATTTCTATGAAAAGAGATTCAACATCAATGTTATCAGATGTAAGAGCGAGGTCCTCTATATAGTATACCATATACAGAAGGGGAGGTCAACCCTCCTCCTCTGGAAATATTGTTTATGCATGCTTTTGCTCCAACCCTGTGCTAACATACCTGAAACTAATCATGGTCATCAGATAATACGTGTGTTAGATTAGGGTTGGAGGGAAAGCCTGCAGGAGAAGGGTTGGGCATCCCTGATATATATAATATATTCTTACCTCGGTCTGTATCATGTTGATGCGTCTGGAGCAGAGGGTCTTGACACAGTTGTAGATGTCCACCACTCCCTCACACTCTGCCATATCCAGCATGACGTCCAGTACGATGTAGCAGCCTGTTCTGCCTGCTCCCATACTAACACATAGAGGAGAGAGGTCAGGGGTTAGGAGTTGGAGGTTAGAGGTCATATCCAGCATGATGTAACAGCCTGTCTTGCACGCTCACGTACTAACACACAGAGAGGAGAGACGTCAGGGGTTAGAGGTCAACAAGGTCAAAGAGGTGAGGGTATAAGATCAGGAGCGAGAGACCATCTGTAGGCTAAGCTACACCCAAAACGATAACTATAAAATAAAGAGCAACACTGCATCACTCAGAGACAGGATTTGATGTAAGATGGTCTGTTACCTGCAGTGGACGACCACGGGTCCAGCGTCGGGGGGTGTGGAGGCCTTTACCCGGCGTAGGAAGGCCAGCAGGCCTGTGGCGTGATAGGGAACACCATGCTCTGGCCAGGAGGTGAAGTGGAACTGACACACCTCATGTTTGGCTGGGTAGCCCCTCTGGAAAGGAAAATACAGAAGGTCTAATGAATATCATTATCAGCAAACAGACACCTACAGTTGGCACAGTAGGACATTCATTAAGACATCTCTATTTAAACATTGGAACAATTCCAAGGACCAATGATTCATTATTTGTTAAGATATCAATGCCTCTATAAAGGCTGTGTTCTCAATAAACCACCTGGCTGAACAAATAGAGTAAAGAAAACACTATTAAATGATCCAAATGATTTATTATTTGTTAGATAGAAGGACTTTGACTATTTGCTCACCCGCTCCATAGCAAAGGTGCGGACGGTGTACTCGGCCAGGGTTTCCGTCTTCAGCAGTGTGATCTTGATGTCTCCATAGAGTTCACTGTCCTCGGGCCAGTACTTACAGCACTTCATCTGAACACAAACAGAACATTTGGACTTTAATCAGGGTCTACAGTCAGTTACAGCTTTAGCTGGCTTAACGCTAAGCCAATATTCAAGAGCAAAATCAATACAATACAGTGGCCCGTGACAATCATCTATCTTTCCGGTTTCCAGAGAGAAAAGGTGGAAGACTTAATGGTTGGAATCTGGTTGTCATTTCAACCAGTTTTTCCCACTGGGTTGTAGACTCATAATACAAAGCTAGTTTATTCCGCTGGTAGTTCTTCTATTGTCTTATGTAAAGAGTTGGCCCGCAAAGGCACAGAAAGAAAGAGTAACCTACCCTGCCCACCTCCACCAGTTTAGTGATCATGACAATACTGAAGCAGTTCTCTTGCCACACCATCCTCCAGAAGTCATAGATCATCTCCTGCTTGGGACCTGAGGGGGAGGAGAGGAGGGGGAGGAGGAAGAGGAGAGGAGGGGGGAGGAGGAGGAGGAGGAGGAGGAGGAGGAGGAGGAAGAAGAGGAGGGGGAGGAGGAGGAAGACGAGGAGGAGGAAGACGAGGACGAGGAGAGGACAAGGAGAGAAGGGGGAGGCGGTGGATGACAGGAGGAAAGACAGAATGAGGTGGAGTAGGAGCATAAAAGGGAGGGATAGGAGGAGGGATAGCATAAATCAGTAGAAATAGCAGCCATCAGGGTCAGGCCGGTAGAATCCAAGAATCCATGCCAGAGACGAAAGTAACAGTGTGTCATTTTATGAACCATGGCTCTCCACTCCTCTCTTTCCCCTCTCTGCTCTCCTAGCGTCTGCTGGTAGAATGTCATTTCAATACACTCACAAATCCACAGCTGTTGTGCAAACAACAAACGCCATCACCGTTGTCTTTCTCCGGCGAGGCGCGACTACTCACTGACACAAATCTCAGCCCCTTGGCACGCATTGGCAGTTTCATTGATTGCATTATACTGTGAGCTTGATGATATCACACGCCTCTATGTGATACCATAGATAATGTTAGGGTGAACAAATACCATGGCTTTAATGATAAACATACCCATTCATACAGTATATCATACCTCTGGTGGGTTACGTATCGGATTATTTGACGCTCATAAATTACATATTATTTGGAGATTGTGTTGAGAGCTAACGTGTATCATGGCTTTTGATGATGAAAATGCTCATTCATTCCAACCTTTGCTATCTCCGCACCCACAATGCATTAATTCAATCTGGTTCCAGAGGCCTACTATGCTGCTGTAGTTAGCATAGATAAGACTGTTGTCAAGGAGAAGGTCATTCTTGATCACTCATGTTCAGTTATCATAGCTATTTTGCATTCACTTTGTTTCCCGCTTTGTCTCCCCACTCCCGCATTCTCTTTGTCTCTTATAAATAAGCCATACAATCAAATACAACCAAGGGGGTTGTTGTTTCTGCAGTGTTTTTCACAGTTTGTCTTAACATGAAGCCTCCACTGTGGATCCTACTTGAGATGCCTAGCACCTAGCCCCCACGTAGAGTCTACTGTATTATTAATATGATGACATGTTGTTTAATTTTCAGCAGCACTCCTCACTGTGGGCCAGAGGGGCCGGTCTGTCAGAGGAATGACAGATAAGGGTGGATCCTCCCAGGGCACCTCTGTATGCTCAGCGTAATGTTGCTGTGTGGACACAGGGCTTCAGAGCAGCTCTCCTCCACTACCTCCTACACCTCATCCTTGGACACCAGTTTTGCTCCAGGCACCTGCCTACACACACACCTATACATACAGTATATACTGTACATACAGTGCCTTCAGAAAGTATTCACACCCCTTTACTTTTTCCAAATGTTCTGTGTTACAGCCTGAATTTAAAATGGATTAAATTGAGATTTGGTGTCACAGATCTACACAAAATAACCCATAATGTCAAAGTGGAATTTTATTTGTAGCAAAATTTAGATATTATAAACAATGTTAAAGCTAAAATGTCTTGAGTCAATAAGTATTCAACCCCTTTGTTATGGCAAGCCAAAATAAGTTCAGGAGTAAAAATGTGCTTAACAAATCGCATAATAAGTTGCATGTACTCATTCTGTGTTAAATAATAGTGGTTCACGTGATTTTTGAATGACTACCCCATCTCTGTACCTGACACATACAATTATCTGTAAGGTCCCTCAATCGAGTAGTACATTTCAAGCACAGATTGAAAGAACAGGAAGGTTTTTCAATGCCTTGCAAAGAAGGGCAGCGATTGGTAGATGCCGTGCATTATCATGCTGAAGCATGAGGTGATGGCGGCGGATGAATGGCACGACAATGGGCCTCAGGATCTCGTCACGGTATCTATGTGCATTCAAATGCAATTGTGTTCGTGTCCGTAGCTTATGCCTTCTCATACAATAACCCCTCCGCCACCATGGGTCACTTTGTTCACAACGTTGACATCAGCAAACCGCTCACCCACACGACGCCATACACGCTGCGCTCTCTGCCATCTGCCCGGTAAAGTTGAAACCGGGATTAATCCATGAAGAGCACACTTCTCCAGTGTGCCAGTGGTCATCGAAGGTGAGCATTTGCCCACTGAAGTCGGTTGCGACGAGCTGCAGTCAGGTCAAGACATTGGTGAGGACGACGAGCACGCAGATGAGCTTCCCTGAGACTGTTTCTGACAGTTTGTGCAGAGATTGTTTGGTTGAGCAAACCCACAGTTTTATCAGCTGTCCGGGTGGCTGGTCTCAGACGATCACGCAGGTGAAGAAGACGGATATGGAGGTCCTGGGTTGGCTTCGTTACACGTGGTCTGCGGTTGTGAGGCCGGTTGGGTATACTGCCAAATTTTCTAAAACGATGAAGGCGGCTTATGGTAGAGAAATTAACATTACATTCTCTGGCAACAGCTCTGTTGGTCATTCCTGCAGTCATCATGCCAATTGCACGCTCCCTCAAAACTTGACACATCTGTAGCATTGTGTTGTGTGACAAAACTGCACATTTTAGAGTGGCCTTTTATTGTCGCCAGCACAAGGTGTACCTGTGTAATGATCATGCTGTTTAACCAGCTTCTTGATTTGCCACACCTGTGGATGGATTAACTTGGCAAAGGAGAAATGCTCACTAACAGGGATGTAAACAAATATGTGCCCAAAATTAGAGAGAAATAAGCTTTTTGTGCGTATGGAAAATTTCGGGGATCTTTTATTTCAGCTCATGACCAACACTTTACATGTTGCGTTTGTATTTTAGTTCAGTATATGTGACTCGTTTCAGGAAACTAGGCGTATGTCGCGCGTCACTACTTCACAGGAGCCATTTGAACGTAAACCTTTTATTTTTTTCATCAAAATGCATTTTTTGGCAGAAATGCCTTCTGGAACATGTGAACTTTCATGTGCCTTAATAACAAACTTGCATGCCATCTGTAAATACGAATACAATTGTTAAAATTACGAGCCTAGTTGGTTTAGCCACAGAAAAAGACAGCAACCTTCCCGCTTGCCATGATTGGCTGAGATAATGAGTAGGCTGGACATGCCGAGAGATGAGTTCGGATTGGTCTGCCATGTAGCAGGCTTCTGTCTATAATATGAGCTGGTCAGTATGTGTAGGTCATTCTTTCTAACACAGCTTTTTTGAAAGAAATCACGTAGTAGAACTGCATAAGTGTTGCTCTCCACTTTCTGGAGGACCGAGTATTGAAATCAGTGGAATTAGAGTATGATAGCTAAGGAGAAAATTCTGGCGTTTGATTGCAAATATGCAGATGGAGTCGAAAAGAGAAGACACAGAAGGCTGTTGTAAAACACATGTCTCCGGATTACATCTTCAAACTAAGGGCAACCATGGCATCCGTGACAGAGAGGGAGAAGCGTCCATCCATGTATACGGGTAAGAGAGTCTAGCTAGCTACATTTTCAGATATTACACGTTTCTAATTTAGTCAGAAAGTCGTTTTCATTTCAAGTTAAAGTGTACTGTTAGCTAGCATTTGTGTCTGGAAGTAGCTAGCAAGCTAGCCAACATTAGCCAGTTAGCTTGGGTGCTTAACTGCTGTTGTTAGGCAGAACGCTCGGATCAACCATACTTTTCGGCCAGAGCATCCAGTGTGCGCTCTGAAGCTCCGAGAGCGAAACGCTCTGAATTTGCGAACGGCCAATCTGACAATGCTCTGAATTTACGAACGCCCAGAGCATACTTTGGCACTCCAGATAAAATGTATGAACACACCTGTGTATAAGCCAGCCTTTAGCCTTGAAATCTTTGGTTGTTTAGTACCTAGCCTCACATGTGAATCCTTAAAGAGATGGGTGGGGCTAAAGCTTAAAAGGGTGTGAACGATGCTGAATGGGTGTAGACAATGCAAAAAACACAAAAGGAATCGAGCCGGTCGGTCACATATTTTCAAGTATGGTGATGGCTGCATCATGTTTGGGTATGCTTGTCATCGGTAAGGTCTAGGGAGTTTTTTGGGGATAAAAAGAAACAGAATACAGCTATAAACCCAGGCAAAATCCTTGAGGAAAACCTGGTTCAGTCTGCTTTCCAACAGATACTGAGAGACGAATTCACCTTTCAGCAGGACAATAACCTAAAACACAAGGCCTAATCTATACTGGAGTTGCTTACCAAGACAACATTGAATGTTCCTGAGTGGCCTAGTTACAGTTCTGACTTAAATCGGTTGAAAATCTATGGCAAGACATGAAAATGTCTGTCTAGCAATAATCAACAATCAACTTGACAGAGCTTGAAGAATTTAAAAAAGAATAATGGGCAAATATTGTACAATCCAGGTGTGCAAAGCTCTTAGAGACTTACCCAAAAAAAACAGACTGCTGTAATCGCCGCCAAATGTGCTTCTACAAAGTACTGGCTCAGGGGTGTGAATACTTACGTAAATTAGATATTTCTGTACGTCATTTTTAATTAATTTGCTAAAGATTCTAAAAACATGTTTTCACTTTGTCATTATGGGGTACTATGTGTTGATGAGTGAGCAAAAACAACTATTTAATCATTTTGAATTCAGACTTTAACAAAATGTGGAATAAGTCAAGGGATATTAATACTTTCTGAAGGCACACTGTGGTAGTCAACCTCATCTGGCCTCCTGGCTTTTTTTTATACCATGAATTCTAAAATGTATTCAGTCTGTCTCAGTTAGAGAACAGAGACACATTTGTGTATGCCAGTGGCTATGTAATATGTATGCATAAACGTGTGTATAAGTGTTTGTGTGTGAGAGAGCGAGAGAGAGCGCGAGAGAGAGAGAGAGCGCGAGAGAGAGCGAGAGCGAGAGAGAGAGAGAGAGAGAGAGAGCGAGAGAGCGAGAGAGAGAGTGTGAAAGAAAGAAAGAGAAAGACAGAGAGGTTTAAGAGCAAGTGAGCTGAAATCTTCCTTGTGCGGAGCAGTGGGAATAGGGACCAAAAAGAAAGTGGGAAAGACACCAGAGGGGAATCACATACTAAACTAATAAGATCAGAGCTAAGGAAGAATAAATAATATATATCTGTGAGTGTGTGTATGTTTGGGGAATCCATGTTCTAGGTCCTGACTTGGGGGAGGAGGAGAACTATGCACAGACTGAAGGGAGGAGAGACACACAGATACTTCACAGAGAGCTACAGCTACTGTGCTGTAACAGAATCACAATCAGTAGGCCTATGTGACTAACGGTAGAGAGAAGTGGTGTTCAGGTTGTAGAAACATTTACCCAGATACAGAACGTGATGGAAAACCAGCCAGTGTGTGTATATATGTATGTGTGGTATGGTGTGGTGTGGTGTGGTGTGAGAGAGAGAGAGAGACATTCCATTTGCTCCGTTCCAGCCATTATTATGAGCCGTCCTCCCCTCAGCATCCTCCACTGGCGTTTACACATTAATAATTCAAATCATTATTTTAATATCAACAACTGGGAGGCTTGGCTGTGCATGCACACACATACAGTACACACAAAG